CCAGTGCCCCCTGGAAGTTATGAGCTCCAGTCACCTCTGGTGGTAACTTGCTTCATCATGCATGCTCTAGTAGCTTTTTTCCTTCTATTTCACCTCACTGTCCCAGGTGTTTTCTGGAATCCCTTCCTAAGTAAACTACTTACTCTTGAATCTTGTCAGTTCCAGTACAGTAGCTAGAATTGTCACGTGTTTCCTCCACCAGTCTCACTGCCCTGAGATCCTAGCCCCTCGTTGCTGCCTATGCAAATTGCCAGCCCCCTCGTTTCTGCCTATCCAAATTGCCAGAGCTCCCAGCCCCACTCTGAGCCAAGTCTACTCAGCTGGCAGCTCATCAGACGTAGCACTGTTTCCATTGTGTGGCGGGCTGGAGTAGAAAGGGTTGGAATCACACATACATGCCTGGCTGAAGAATCCTGATTCAGTTACTTACTAGCTATGAACCCCTGGGCACATCACTCCACTTCTCTGAGCTTGTGGAATATTGGTAAGAATCCTTGCCCTGTCTGGTTGTCCTCTGGCTCTAGTGAGCTACACATATAAATAACAAGGCTATTGCCTAATACAAGAAAATACTCCAGAAAAGATAGTTATTTTCATCTTATCTTGAAGAAATTCATTATTTACTTTCTATGTGTCTCCATCTTGTTTCCAAACTGAGCTATAGCTTCTCTAACAGATTCAGCATATGTATGCTTCATATTCATATTTATCACAGTCTTGTCCATGAAAGGCACTAAATAATTGTTATCAGTTTTCTAAAGCTTTAAATCAGAGGATGAACTCTTTCAATTCAAGATTCGCTTATGGATTATTTGCTATTGTGAGGAATTCTCAAAGAATTTTTAGCAGGCCATTGTTTTTCTTGGCCTCAGTTTTCGTGTATGCAAAACAAATGTTCAGGTCTATAACTCTAGATGCACCGAGCTCCTTCTAGCACTACAGTGTGGAATCTAAGCATTCCTCGAAGGCCAGTACTATAGGTTACTCTTCTTTCTGACCCGTCACCACTTAATATAATTGTGGTCACAGATTAAGTGCCTTCCCAGTGCATGCGGAGTCCATTCCAGTCACCTCACTGATCCCGTATCCTCCCAGCCTTCCTTCCCTCTTACCATCCCTCACTCTATTCCAGCCAGACCATCTTTTCTTAGTACCCCTAGAATCTTCCAGGCTTGATCTGCCTTGAGACCTTTGTACTTGCTGTTTCTTATCACTTGGTTCTCTGCTCGTGTCCCCTCTCTCAATTCTATTCCACGACCCTGCTTTTTTTCTTGTGAATGCTCTCTGAAATTGCCATCATCTAGCATTTATTTGCGTCTGTTGTTTGCGTTTTATTTCCATTTATTGTTTGTTTTGTCCACCCCTCCCTCTAGTCCTCAAATATAAATGTCTGTTTTTGGATCTTTGTCCATCCCTGCCACTTAAATAGTACTTAAAACACATCTGGCACAAACTAGGCCCCTAAATAAACAACTGTGAAATGAATGAATGAGTAAACTCATGCCTTACAGAGTAGTTTTTAGATGGTGAGCTAAAATCTGTTGCTGTCATGCCAGGTTCTAGTGAATTTCTTTAGGTGTGTGTCCTAAGGGAATCTACTGCCCTAGGTGTAAGTAAACATGCAGTGGGGAGAAAGAAGGACTTTATAGGGAGACGAGTGAAAGCAATCATACCAGCTTATCTAGAAACTTATTTGCAATAGGAAACTCAGATATAATTCAAGAAGTAATAATTTATTTCTTTTTATTATAGAAAATTTCAAACATAAACATAAGTAGATATAGATAAGACTAGCATAATGGATCCTCTTGTACCCTGTGATAGACAGACACTAGAGTGGCCCCCTCATCCTGATGTCTATACCCTGTATAATCCTCTCCCCTGAGTGTTTGCAAAACCTGTGACTTGCTTTCTAACCAACAGAATATGGCGTTTTGATGTCACCCCTATGTGATCACCCCTATGTGTAAGATTCCACCTTGCTGACAAACTTACTTCGGGGACTCTTCTTGCTGGCTTGATGAAATCAGTGGCCAGGTTGGGAAAGGACATGTGACAAGGAGCTCCAGGAGCTGAGGGCGATCTCCAGTTGACAGCTAGCAAAAAGCCAGAGTCTTCAGTCCTACAGCTGCAAGGAAATAAAATCTGCCAATGACCTGAGTGAGCAAGGAAGCTGATGCTTTTCCAGTTGAGCTTCCAAATAAAATACAGCCTTGCCAACCCCTTGAGGGTAGCTTAAGACCCTAAGCAGAGGACCCTGCTTAGGTGGGTGAGGTGCCTGGGCACCTGACCCATAAAAAGTAGGAGATAATAAATTGGTGTTGTTTTGAGCTGCTAAATCTGTAGTAATTTGCGGCAACTGATAACGAATTCAGATATATCACCCAATGTAAATGATTTTCTATAGTTTGCCGGTATTGTTTCATCTATACGTTCGTCCGTGGTTTTGGGCATGGGTGGGATGGAGTATTTTAAAGCACATGCGCATACTTTAGTATCTCTAACAGAAAAGGAGTTTTTAAAAGTATAACAGTGAAAAATTAAGGCTTCCTTGACAACCAAAATAGGGAGTCTTTTTAAAGCCCAGGAAGTCGATGGATCTACTCTATTAGCTGGACACGGGAAGAAAAGGTACATTCTATAAACTGAGTAAGAAGAACATCCCCTTGATCCGATGAGCTAAAGAACAGGTACACGTATGAGAGACCTTTCACTTGAAACGTCTAAGCCTTGCCAGTCGTTGTCGTTGTTGCTGTTTTAAGTAGTGCAGTCACAAGGTACTTGATCCTATAATATGCTCAACTGTCCTACAAAATCCAAAATCGTTCAAATCCAATCCTGATTGTATGTTGAAAATCCGACCCGTTCCCCTAAACCTGCGCTGGAAGGGACCCTTGTCAATTTCCACGTTTTTCATGACTCTTCATCATTCCATGCCCTACGATAACTGGCATCCCTACCACCCTTCCCTTACCACAGGCAGCTCCTTCCAACTGGCCCCAGCTCCTCTCCTCTCTTGGAGACACCAAGCTCCTCTGCCTTTGACACTGAAGCGCTTCGTAAAGGAAACTCCCAGGGCTCCGGGGTCCATCCCATCTCCACCACCAGGGCGCACTGCGATCTCTGGCAAGTAGAGCATTCTTTAAACTGGACACAATAGTGCCTCGCAGGGTTGCGGTCAAGACTAGATGAAGAACGTGTGTCACGGGTCAAGAGCCCAGCCCCGCGAAGGCACCGCCGCTCCTCACCCTTCCCTTTGTTGGTTCCCAGCTGGTCTCCCAGCACCAGAACGCCCAGCACCACGCCGCTCCCGCTTTCGTCGCGGGGCATGCCGGGATTTGTAGTTTCTTTGCTCCCCCAGCCGTGCTCGCTCTCGGAGTCAGTCGGCGAGAGGAAGAACTACACATCCCAGTGGGCAGTGAAAGGAAAGCGGGGCTCGGAAAACCGAGCGTCCCCGCCCGGCTGCCTCCGCTTTCCGCTGCCCACGGGGTGTGCCCACCGGGCGCGGGCTCTGACCCCGCGGCAAAGTCGGGGAGGGCGCGAGCCGGGCGCGCGTCGGCCGGGCCGGGCAGGGGAGGCGCGGGCTGGAGAGGACAGCGGCGGTCCCTCTGCGGCCGTGGGAGCTCGCGGCGGGGAAAGGGGAGAAATAAAGCGAGTACATCGCGAGCGGCCGTGTCGGAGAAGTGAGAAAGAAAGGGCTGGAGAGGCGGCAAGCCCCGCGCAGCGCGGCCGCCGCGGGCTTGTCCTCGGGGCCGCAGGGGACCCAGAGCGCTCTGCGCTCCCTGCGGGACACCTGGCCCCGGAGCCAGGCCCGCCTCGTAGGGTGTCTCCCCATCCCGTCGCCGGGCACCCCGCCCCCGCCGGGGGAGGAAGAGCAAGAGCCGGCGCAGGCCCGGGAGGGTCACCTCTCCGGGGGCGCGGGCTCCTCGGGTCCCCGTGGACCTGCCGCCGCGTGCGTGTGTGTGTGTGTGTGTGTGTGTGTGTGTGCGCGCGCGCCGAGGCGGCGGCCGCAGTCCGCGAGCGGGGCCGGGGAGCGCCCAGCGCCTGCCCGCCCGGGGGTCGTGCCGGGCCCGCCCGAGGGCACTGGGGCGGGCGAGGAGGAGGAGCCGGAGGAGGAGCCCGGCTGGCTGGGCGCGGGCCGCCGCCCCCCGGGCCGGGAGGAGGCGGGCCCGCTCCGAGCGCCGCGCGCGCGCCGGGGCTGAGCCTCGCAAACAAGTGTCTGTGGCGCTCGCCCCGCGGCGGCCCTCCCCGCGCCCGGCCCGGCCCGGCCCCTGTGGGGCGGGAAGCCCCGAGCGAGCCGCCGCCGCCGCGACCCCCGGCCCCCGCGGCCCCCGCGGCCCCCGCAGCCCCGGCAGCCCCGCGCGGGGGCCGCGGGCTGGGCTCGGCTGCCAGGCGCGCCGGCGCGGGGTGGCCGCGCGAGCAGCGCCCGGGCTGTCGCCGAGCCCGCTCCTGACAGAAGAACGTGCTCGGTTTCCCCACCCACCCCTGGGAGGGGTTGCCGGTGCCGCGAGCTGCCTCCCAGTTTCCATCGCTCTCTCCTGGGGAGGATCCACCGCCGGGAGGAAGGATTAGAATAAACCTGGCCGCGGCGCCCCAGTGGCTCGCGGGGAAGCCGGCGCGGGGGTCGCCGCCTCGTGTCCCCTCGGGGCGCAGCAGCAGCAGCAGCAGCAGCAGCAGCAGCAGCAGCAGCAGCAGCAGCAGCGGCGGCGCTCGGGGGCCGGCGGGCCGGGGCGGCGGGGCCGCGCGAGGGGGCGGGCGCGCGGCGCACCGGGGGCCCCGGAGCCCCGGGCGCGCGGGCTGGACGCGACGAGGACCGCCGCCGCGGGCTCGGCTGCGGGCGAGCGCCGTCCCTCCCGGAGGGGGTCCGGGCTATGACAGCGGGGCTCCCGCGAGGGTTACCCTGGGTGTCCTCGGCGAAGTTGTCGCCGAGCCGGCAGCCGGCGTAGGGGCCGCGGCGCCGCGGCTCGGGGGGCGGCCGGGCGGCCGGCGGCGGTCGTGGCTCGGCGGGGCCCGCGCGGCCGGGGGGCTCCGGGGGGCGTGCGCCCCCAGCCGGCTGCGCTCGCGGATGCCTCCCGGCGGCGGCGGGCCCATGAAAGACTGCGAGTACAGTCAGATCAGCACCCACAGCTCCTCCCCCATGGAGTCGCCCCACAAGAAGAAGAAAATCGCGGCCCGGAGGAAATGGGAGGTTTTCCCGGGCAGAAACAAGTTCTTCTGCAACGGCAGGATCATGATGGCCCGGCAGACGGGCGTCTTCTACCTGACTCTCGTCCTCATTCTGGTCACTAGCGGACTCTTCTTCGCCTTCGAGTAAGTGGCGGCGAAAGCTCCGCGGCGCCCTGCTCCCCTCGCCTCCCCGCCCCCCGCCCCTCGCCCCCCGCCCCTCCTCTCGCTACTTTCGTTTTCCAGGAGCCGACTCTGCCGTATCTGCACACGGTTACATAATGCGAGCCCGCCTGCCCCTCTTGGGCTCCTAAGGGTCTGTTGGCGCTCGGGTCCGCGGAGGGCACGCGGCCCGGGGTCGGCCCGGGGAGGGGCGAGGGGGGCAGGGCGCCCTGGAGGGCGTGGCGCCTCGCAGGTGCAGTCGGAGCCCCGCCGGCCAGTCCCGGGCAGCCCTCGGGTGGGACGGGAGGAGGAGGCTGGAGCCCCCGCGCGGGGTCAGGGCCCCGGACCTCCTTTCTTGCTCCGCTCATCCGCCGGCTCTTCTAGGTGCCTTCGCTGAGCGGGGGAGAATCTTGGTTGTTTCAAAGTGGAGGCTGCCCCAGGGGGCCTGGAAGGATGATTTCAATTTTTCGTTCTCCTTAGATGCTCGCCTTTGAGCCACAGTTTTCCGAGTTGCCATGACGCGGTCTCCAAACTCTTCGCTTTTAAAAAAAAGTTCCGATCGAAAATGTTGAAGATTCACACTTTCTCCTCCCTCCTCCCCCCCCCCCCCAAACCCCCAGCCCACGGCCCCGCGCAATGTTCGGGAACAGGCGAAACGAGACTTTTTTTGTTTTTTTTTTTGCCCAGTTCAGGAAAAGTCGGACGCTGCATGGTAACTTCGGTTTCCAGAAACAGCACTTTGGGACTTTAGGGTTTTGATTTGAAAAAAAAAAAAAAAAAAAGAAAAAAAGAAAAGGTGCATGCTGGTCTTCTCCGTTTTCAGGAAAATCAGGTTGGCCACTAGCGACTGTCCTCCTGCCAACTAATGAAAGATCTTCTTATTTATTAATAGATTAGATAAAGTACTTTAACCACATTCCAGAATCAATTTCAATTGCTTTTATTGGGTCCAACATTTGCAATGCAGCTTCTTATGTAATTCTTGGTGTCCTATACACAATAAAAGTTGTAGCCACCCCCCCCCCCACACACACACACTTAAAAGGAGACAATACCGTTATTGGGGAGTGCTTTGTGTTTCCTTAACTGGCTTAATGATGGGGCATGATACCCATTCAGTCTCCATCTTCTGTTGCATAGGGTTAATTAAACCTTTGTGTTTATTTACACAAGGTGTTATTGTCTTTGATAAGTATTAATAGGCTCTGATTTTGTGCCCAGTGTCTGGTATTACAAATGCTATCTCTATCAGAAATGAATGCTCTCTTGACAATGTAATACTTTTCACGTAAAGCCCTGTGACTCTGGGGGGAAACATTTTTTTTTTTGTCTGAGCATTGTGCTATGATGCACAGTTTTAGCAGGATTGAGTTAGACCAGGTGAGGAGGAGAGAGATCTCACAGGTGAGCCACGCACCTCCCCCAGGCCTCACACACAACCCCTTCCTTTCTGACTATGTAAATTTCCCAGGTCTCTCCCAGAAGTTGAACTTTGGGGCACATTTGCAGCTAGGGTAGAGCCCGTTGGGGACCTTGGGGATGGGAGGGGGAGGTGTGCAAAGGCTTTGGGAATGGCAGGAGAAACGCTCTGTTCCTCTGTTAATCCCCTTGTCCCCCTCCAGAGCCAGCCACTCATCCTTACAGACTCAGGTCTGAGTCATAATAGATTCAGGCACTGGAGTGACGATGCCCTGTGGTTGAACACAAATACCATCCTTCTAATGGTGGCTTTCCCTAGAGGTGGTTTTCTAGATAGATAGTATTCACTATGTTCCTAAAGGTAAAAAAATTTTTGAACTGATCTATATTGGCATTTTTGCTCTTTGTTAGCACTTTTAATGGTGGGGAAAATAGGTTAATTTTGTGAGCTTCAGCCACAAGTGTGTTTCCTGCATGATGATGAATGTTTCATTTTCTGCGTACACTCCAATCCCCACTGTATGGTTAGAGATCCCCACTAGTTATGCTTACTATCTTTTATTTTCTTTATTCAAGTACTGCTTTTAAGCAAACCATCATAAATTCATTTTTACCTTTTAAGCTCTGTGTGTGTTTCTTCAAGAGTTCCCCAAAGTCCTCACTAGAAGATTGTTAGGGATCTTTCTCTGCGCCAGCATTATGCTAACGGATGGCTGTAGGAATAAACATGTGTGCTGGGATTTTATTAGCTACTACTGATAGCTTCATTTTTAGATAAGCTGTGTGTGTGTGTGTGTGTGTGTGTGTGTGTGTGTGGTCTCCATGAGTGTTGCTTCAATTAGGCAATTTGAAATTTCAAGAAAATAGGCCAATCCTAGCCTGATGCCTCGGTTGGGAAAAATCATAGGGCTGTGTTCAAACTATAGAATATTTTGGTTTGGCTAAGAATAGTGTCACTATGTTGCTTTTAAGTTCTTTATCATTGCTAATGACAAAGTGAAATTAAATAACTTTGGCCAAATTAATTTGATAGACTCAGAGAAGCAATTAGTTCCATGCATAGGAGATGAAATGCCAGCAGCCTAAAAGAGATCAGGAGAAAATGCCAGTTTTGTCTGCTCGCTGCCAGGCCTGCCTTCCTTCTAAGCTCTTTCTTTAGTTATTTATTGGACACATACTAGGGTGTTTGCCTATTTGGATTAATTTCATGTCCAGATAACTTTAATATTAGTAGAATTCATGTTCAAACATTAGAGTCCATGTTTCCCCATAGAGTTACAAAAGGCAAGTGCAACATTTGAAAAGAAGACACAGGACTTCGCTTCAGACTTCCTTTTCCTGCAGTTCTTCCCCCACCCCACTTCTCATTCCCAACCTTGAACAGAGGACAAAGAAGTTCCTACTGGAGAAAGTGACCTATTGGAGCACAGCAACAGGTGTTGATAGTGCCTCCGACCCCTGAGAAAAAGGCAGGGTGTGTGTGGGGGGTGATTATTCCCACATTGCAGGTGAGGTGACAGGCATCGAGAGATGAAAAGACCACTGAGGGTCACATACTAACTAGTGGCCGGGCTTCTGACTACAAAGCCATTGCCCTTTCTGATCCATGGTGCCGTTCTCCCTTCAAGTATAGAAGAGTGCTTACAGGAATGGGCTTGGGAAGGACAGATCCCAGGGTTCTAACTAGAAGTATGACCCTGGGCACAGAATTTGACGTTTCTAAGCCTCAGTTTTCCCATCTGTTAAATGGGATCAATAATATCTACCTTAAAGTGGTACAAAGATCAAACGAAAACGTATAGTTCGTACAGTGTCTCATCCAAAGTAAGCACTCAATTAACAGCACATATTTATAGAGCAAACCTTAGAAGTAGCCTCCGAACCACTAACTTTTCTGAGAGCCTTTGAAAAAGGGAGTGAGTTAGTAAGTATAACAGTGATAGTATATTGGGCTGAAAATAATGTAGAACTGTGTAGTTTGCAGTTGAAATGAAGATTTCTATATGAGTCTGAGGAGTGACTCCACTCTTGCCCCTTCAGAGGGGAAGTCCTGCAGAGATGTCCGGGACCCCCACTTGTCCAGACTTGGGCAGGAGCACGGAGGAAGCATCCAAGAAGCAGGGACTGGATTTCACTTCTGTTTTCAGAGCTACCATCTTAGAACTGTGAAGATGGTAAAGAAAACTACTAGAAGCAACCTGTTGCAACTCCACTCATTTTCAAGTAGGGCCAGGCTATGTATTTTGAGGCATCTCGTATTCAGCATACGTACTGATAGAGTGTCAGCATTTTGTAGCTGTAGCTTTTGTAGCATTTGTAGCTTTTCAGGACGGAAGGCAGTGGCCTTCTGTGGCACTTCTGTGGCAGTGCTGTTGAGAGATCTGTCACTGCTCCTTGCAGTTACTGAGGGCCTGGCCCACCTGAGACTCAAAGCAACATCCTCATTCTCACATCCCCAGAAGATCAATTTGAAAAGATTTGATAGGATCAGTGAACATTATAAATTTCTTCATCTCTTCTTCTCTGACCTACACAAATGTACAGCCTGCTTATGTTTTGAGTTGAGATTTTGAAAATAAAAAGTCTTTGGTCCTGAACTATTGACATCTTGTAGTCTCTGATCACAGGGGCAGAAAGAAAGAGATGAACCAGGCATCCAGGTGAGGCTCGTGTTTCCAGAAGCCGCTGTGATGTGAGGGGAGACCTGCTCAGACTTGACGGTCTCCCACTTATGTGCTGTGGCCACAGATGTCATTGGGGTGGAAACACTTGGGAATGTGGAAGCATTCCTAAATTTCTCATCACTGGAAGTCCATCAATTTTTTTAAAAAATTAAATTCAATTAGCCAACATATAGTACATAGTTTCAGATGTAGTGTTCGATAATTTATCAGTTGTGTATAACACCTGGTGCTCAGTCACATCGGGTGCCCTCCTTAATCCTCCTCACCATTGATGATTTTTTTTTAAAGCCACGTGTTTTCGTCTCCCCTCTCCTTCCCTTCTCCCTTCCTTTTCCTCTCCCTCCTTCCCTTTGTTTCTTCTTCCTCCTCCTCCTCTTCCTCCTTCTTTCTTTGGCTAATCCCCTTTGAAGTAGTTGATGACTAACTGGTAGTAGAACTGGGGTGATGTTTGCTTTGAAGATGGAACAAGGGACTGTCCCCCATAAACAAAGGTGCTATTTCCAATAATAATCTCTCCCTTATAAATTGGAAATCCTTTATTATTCAGTAGAAGATACTACCCTTATAATATATAAGGACCCTATCTTTTCTCAACTGTCCTATTCAGAACTGCATCAAGTTATCCGCCATCTCAGGAAACATACGGGAAGTGCCCTGTCTTCTGGCCAGATGCTGGCCATGCTGTGCACTGTAGAACACCACGGGATTGATAGTAGATGACCATCAGGATGTTACCCTGAACATTTCCTATTAACCAAGTAGACGGTGTCAGGGACACTCTGTAACCCACTGTGGATCCACACAAGAATTTTTTTTCCTAAAGATTTTATTGATTTATTCATGAGAGTCACAGAGCGAGAGAGAGAGGCAGAGAGACAGGCA